ATTTGTTTTTCGTCAAGGGAGCCACTCCATAGCATCTCAAAATATGACTGAAAATTGTGTTATAGATGAGGAAACACAATTATTATTATTATTTTAGCCATAGTAGTCAATGAGGATTTTCTTTAATGGAATTTTCCCTTATTAGCTTTGAGCTAAATGCTCAATGATTAATATCAACCTCTCAAGGAATAATCAGGGTTTTACCAATGTTATTATACATCCTCTTGGAGCCACATACAAATATTCCAGTCTGGGCCATGTGGTGGACACACTCACGGATCTATAGAGCCATCTCTAGAGCCAGCCATGCAGGTGACTCAGAGAGTTCTGACCAAAAGACAAGGAACCTGTGCAGTGATGGCCAAGTGCTCGCTATTTGTCTTTTCTAGGAGCTCACCACTTGACTAAAGTACTTCCACCACTTTTTCCAAATTCATCATAGGTAACAAATACAATCCTCTAACCTTCATTGCTCTTCAGTGAACCAATAACAGTCATTTGAAGGTGCACTCCAGCAATTTAGTATTGCACTTCAATACAATTGGGAGTCTTAGCAAAGACATTTTTAACAGAGAATTGTCAAATTGAAACAGCAGAGGCTGAGATGTCCTTCCTTTAAGTTTGGGTAAAACTTCAGAAACACTAAATCCTACACTTCCCATAATGCCAATGGAAAGCATCAATCATTAGTGCCTGCCCATCATTTCAAAATCTCCATTCTGTAATGAAGACTTTATATCAAGAGGTGATTTTTGAGAGTTTTTACTCCAATCATTCACCCATCGTGTGTTCAAATTCAGGTCAAGTTTACAATCTTATAGACCCTTTGTTTGATACTCGTTTAAAAAAAGAAATGTGTACGGCTGTAGGTCTGCCCATGTTCTTGTCCTGATCAGTAATAAAAGTTAGGATGTTATTTCATTTGGTCTACCTCACCCAATCAAACTTGTAACTTCTATTTACACTACCACCACAGCATAAATAAAACATTGTTTCAGGCCATTTGGTCAGCTCAGCCAAAGGGGGCAAATTGGCTATTGATTAGGCAATTTAAAAAAAGATGGACTTTTATTAATCCCTCGTGGGGAAATTGTTTCTCTGCATTTGACCCATCCTAGTGTTAGGAGCAGTGTGCTGCCATTTTGAACGGCGCCCGGGGAGTAGTGTGGGGAACGGTGCCTTGCTCAGGGACACCTCGGTAGCACTTGGTCTTGCCGGGACTTGAACTGGTGACCTTCCAGTTGCCAAGCCAAGTCCCTATCAACTTCGCCACCACCGCCCACCTGTGTTTATGTACGTCCCTGTTATAAAATCAAATCAAGTGCTCAGTACATGTCCTATGAGCTCTGTATTATTCAGTTTCTAACATGTTCAATTATTCCTTGTGGAAAAAAAAGAATCGATTACATGCACCTAAACTCGCTTGACTTTGCATGCTTTCCATGTTAATAAATTGATTCTTGCCATTCGCAGTGCGTCATACCAAAGCTATAAAGCCGATATACACAACCTGAAAGTGGCCATCCTGTGTAGGGGAATATGTCTCTACATTCAATGTTTTAAAAGAGCAGGACTCACTCCTGTTAATACTATATACTATTGGGTAGTAAAGGGTTACGTGCAAACAGATGTACTGCACTGTATGTACTGAAACAAATAAACATTTAGCAAATGCAGTCACTTTAACCCCTCCTGTGTCAATGAGTATATCAATACATATCATTACACACGCTCACTTTAAACATCTTGAGGCCGCAGTCTGATGAGAGTGTACTGTAGCCCATTAACACTTAATATCCTTGACAATTGTTTCACACTAACAATAATGGCTTCCATTCTAAAGAGAGACGGCAGCATATGATGGCTTGGCAACTCATACCCAGAGCTTTTAGAAAGATACAAATTGCTCTCCTGCCAATTCATCGAAAGCCAGATTCAGCTACATACATCTTCAGGCAAATGTAATTGAATGAGGGAATAAAGGTTTATCATATTTATGTATTCCTCAAATCATCCTAGAAACTTGTAAAATTGAAATTAAGTTCTAAAGCTTTATGATGATATATTAGTTGTCTGCAGAAGATTTAATAATGTGCCCATAATAGTTTAACTTCAAGCCTAGCTCCCAATGTTCCAACACGATCCTCTGAATGCGTGTTCATACACAAATGGTCTCCAAACCATTGTCTAATTATGAAGCTAAAGACCGACATTGCACCACTTATCAATTTGAATAGTGTTGACAAAAATCCTGCATATTAATACACTGGCAGAATATGATCAATGTGTGAAAGCTGCATCTTTGTACTGCTGGAGCATATACAAGGCCTACACCATCACTTACTTTCACACATGTGTTCATCTTACTTAGCAGGGGCCACTCCGGAGCACACAACAATATGAAATGGGATTAGTCAGCAGGCTAGCAAATGATCATCACACAAAAACATCTAAGCCAGGCAAACAAACAGGTCCCTCTATTGATTTCCCAAAAAGCCATTTATATATTTGTAGATGGGCCAAAGTCACACACGACTTGTTTCATATGCTATCGACTACGAATGGTAATGGCACAGTGAAAACGGTCACGGTGTACTAGTTCACGTCAATGTACCTTTCAACATGACACCAACTCCACGCATTGTTAAATATTTTATTCACTCTCATCAATAAGATGTCTTTACTGGGGGATTGTGTTGTGGCTCACTGTGACTTCTACCACTTGTCTCTGGCTGTGAAAACATTGAGTGTGAGCTCCATGTGAGCAGATGGGGGCTTGTGTGGGTCAACAGGACATTGGAAGCATTTTTTTTATATTTAATACTGAATAGCATTGCATCCAACTATTCATATCATTGGATTACTTTGGCTAAGTACATTCAGTATACAGCTTTTGTGTTATTATAGAAATCTCAAAGTCTTCACTGTTTGTATATTGCACCTGCTTTTCAAACCAGTTATGCCCTAACCCTTACCCTTTTTTGATTTTTTTAAAAACACATACAGTTATTTTCGTATCTTATATGCAGTCTTAAGCCATAAGGAATACAAAGGAAATCCAAAAAATATCCATAAACATGTTCATATACTCAAGAGATATACATTTACTGTAAGAGAGAGCCAAAATAAGATTGAATATTGGAAACAATCACAAGTTTACACAAATATGACTCTAAATAAATGCTAATGCTGTGTATGTGCTAGCTGTGTTGAATTATCAACAGTTAGCTAACAAGTTTGTCATATCAACGTAAAAAGACAATAATATTTCCTCATATATTTTCCGTGTTGTGTTAACAGCTTGTTTCCGCTGCTCCAGCAGTTAGCATCACAAGGGGTCCCTCGAGAAAAACAAACTAGCCCACATCACGGTCTTATTACTTTGTCACCAGCGCTATGCTAAAGGTGGCTAATGCGCTAAGCTAATGCGCTAAGCTAAAGGCAGCGAGATGGCGTCTCTCATCTTGTTAGCAACTGCTGTTTTCAACACACGTAAAAGCTTCATACATTTACAAATGGCCCAAAAATTACCTTCATGCAGATAAAGTGGATTTTTCTTGGAAACGAGCTAAAGTTATGTTAAAATTCAGTGTTACTTACCAAATTGCATCTGATCTGTTGATCTGTGAGATCTACATCTCTGAAATCATCTCAAGCACTAGAGGTTTACAATTTAAAGGGGCAAGTGTTTATGGATAAGCAAAACATTTAAAAATTCTCCAACTTCAAATTGAATGAAAACTACATAAAGGACATGGTTCAGCTAAGCCATGGACTTGGTTCATACAGTATGGGTCTGGTTGTTCAACCCAGTCTCACGGCATTTCGCGTTAAAGTCACGACATTGAATCTATTGATTCGTGTTCACCAACACGATTTTCCCCTTTTTTTCGTGTCACACAGAACGATTTTAAAAGCAATGTATTTCTATTGGTAGTATGTTTCGTGCCTGCAGCACGTCTTTTTGTCCGTTCGGGTCTTGGAAGACCGGAAGCTGTGGGGTTCATAAAAACATGTTTTTACTCAATATCAAGCCAAGATTATTGTTTTTATTTTAAATCGTATAATGTCGGACTTTTTTTGTCATCTGTGAGGAATAGAAATGGGGCTCAGAGCCTCAGAATACTGAAATCTGTATTTTTTAAAATCTTTTTTTCCTTCTAATTTGTTATTCTTTTCTAAATAACACACTGTTATTTACTCACCAATAACACACAATTATCCTTGTTTTTATTTATTTGTTTAATTCTATAATCTCGGGCTTTTTTGGCGTCCGTCAGGAACTGAATTTGATATTGAGTAAGAACATGTCTTTATGAACCCCACAGCTTCCGGTCTTCCAAGACCCGAACGGACAAAAAGACGTGGTGCAGGCACGAAACATACTACCAATAGAAATACATTGCTTTTAAAATCGTTCTGTGTGACACGAAAAAAAGGGGGAAATCGTGTTGGTGAACACGAATCAATAGATTAAATGTTGTGACTATAACACAAAATGCCATGAGACTGGGTTGGGTTGTTGGTGCGGCAGCAGTGTATAGGCAGAACCAATCTCTGGTGTTGTGAGTGGCTATTTTTTTGTCGTTATTTCTGTATTATGGGATGATATAGCTCTGAGTGACAGGATAAATTGAGGTCGGGAAGTGGAGGTCAGACAAATACACTGTGCACCATGGCTCACAGATTTTTTGCCTCTAGCTTTTGTTGATATTGGGCTCAACAAGGTCTCCCTGATGTCTTTAAGCACAGATCCTCTCTCTATCCTCTATTCTGCTGTATGATATCCATCAGTGATCCACCCCTGCAGTGGCCGCTTCCTGCCCACAGGAAAATACCCAGGTTTAACTCTCTCTTCAGCCCTCCCACACTGTCCATCTCCTGATGTTGGGCGAACACCACCACCAACGCTTTGACTGACCGCCCAAATCCAGCTAATGATTCCTATAAACTGGAATTGATTCAATGTTCGTGTCGCTCTGTCTGCTTTCCCCCTGTAGGCTGGACCCAGGCTTTATCTCACAGATTCTCCAGCTGTTGACCCTTGTTTTATACTTTTGGGCCCCTGTTTGTCGCTTCCTGTCTGGCTTTGCTGAGCGATGAAGATCCCTCTGTGGTACTTGGCGGTGCTGCTGGCGTGTCTCTTCACCCCTGGACGCAGTGACTGCCCGGGGGACTGCGTGGCCTGCGGTCTGCTCCTGGAGCAGCAGCAGCTGCAGCAAGCCTTCAACACCATGGTGAGTATGTGAGTGTGAGCATGTGTGTTGATAAGAGCATCCACTTTGGCAACAGTGCCTTTAGCACCCTGATTAAAGTGTGTTTGTATATTCAATCATGATAAGAGCTTCTGCGTAATGCGTTGTTTGACACTACTTTGTGCACTTTGTTTGCCTTTATGAGAGTGAATATGGGGGAAGAATAATGTGATTTTTTTATCTTTCACATGCTTTGAAATCTTATTTTTAAGTATTTTATCAAAAGAAATGTGTGTACTTTTATTTGTACGGTATTATGGTGGTTAAAGGGATAAAAAGCATATGAAGTACACATTTACTGTCAATTAAAGCCAAAAAGCCTCTACACAAATCTTTTCCAAACTATTTTAAACTTTAAAAAGAAAACAGAAAGAAAGAGAAAACTAATCAAGTAAAAAAGGAAATAAAAAAGGGAAAATAATACGTAATAAAGATAATTGATTTTAATGTATAGCAAAATGTCCAGTTGTAAGACAAACAAATAAAGTATTTGAAATAAATTGCAAAAAAATAGAAAGGATGAGGAAAATATCGAACTAAAGAGGGGAAAAAAATAAAGAGAGAAAAATAAATAATAAAGAGAATGCATTTTTGTTTAGAATCTAATTGTGAGTGTGTAGCAAAATTGCCAGTTGAGAAATAGGATCCAGGAAGTCCTGTTTGAGTAAGAGACCAGATGTAGTGATGAGCACCATACTGCTAAATACAATTCTTAAATAAAGCTGTTTATTTCTGAGCTCCTCAACATTTTGGAGATCTATTTCCTCCGGATAGAATTGGTATTATTTCTGTTTCCTATTGGAGGGGGTTATTTGCATGTGTGAGTATCTCCAGCACTTGTGCAATGCTTCGTGACCAACATGAAGACACCAGCTTCTGCACAGAGAGAACGCTCTCCGAATTCAAACCCAAACTCGAGTGCATCACACAATCTAATTTCCAAACAGTGTGAGACGCGTCAGCGGGGTAAAAATAGTCCGTGGGCGTCCATGAATAGCTATAGGATGGCTAATTTAGCTGATAATGATGCAGAGAAAGACAGCTGGGGACCTTTTGGGGAGTTGTAATAGAACTCTGCAATTGACTGCTGCTCGGTATCATCAGCCGGGGCTTACATCGGTGACTGACACATTTTTATCAGTTCCTCATTGTGTTAGCTGCTTTCCCATTGAGCCACAGATGGAATCCGCCAAGCAATTCCATTGTTTCCCCTCTCCAGACTGAAAGAGTGTGTGTGAAGACACCGGTGTTTGTTACAATGTCAAGAGCGTTGATTTATTCGTGCACACACCTACACACCCGACTGCCCACGCACCCAGACACACTCACACATCAAGTGTTTCCTAGTAGCTTCCCATCCACTGACTGCACTCAATGCTAATCTTGAAGGTAAATGCCAGCAGATGTTTACATTTGTGCTAATCGTCCATGTAACAGCTTTTATTTACATAATTCTAAGCAGCTTCTGTATAATTTCTTCTTATATAAAATCCTGATACATTTTTAATGACCTTCTTTAGAGGCCATTTGGTACACATAGCTGTCTGTTGTGAAATCACAACTTACAGTTTAAAGTGCAGCAGATACGGTACTCCTTATTTTTGTCAGTAGAATGACATCGAGTTTAGATTATTGTACACCACTGAAGTAGTGATGGAAGAAGAGTTGTAGCTGTGATATATATAGAGAAAAATAAATCAAAAGTAATACTCAAAATGTAAAGTTAGTTAGGAGATATAAAGTATTAACAAAAGTTTTGGGAAACTTCACACTGGAATAGGTTCAACTACAGCCAATCTATAGGGGGAAATCTAGTTTGGTTGAATAAAGCAACTTGGAAAATGTAGTTAAAGAATACGCTTAACACTAACCCAACGTTTTTTAAATGTCTCAGTTTTAAGGGGTTCTATAATGCTGCAGTAATTCCCCGTCAGAAAAGGCAGTTGTACAGCAAAGTAAAGAGATGAAAATATCCTAAAAATAGTTTTAACTTTTTACTTAATTTTTTTTTTTTAGGTGGCTAAAATACACTTTTTTGCTGCCTCGTACAGTGAATATCTGTTTCTCCCAACTGGGGTCGTTACGCCATTTTTATGCAACTACTAAGTAACTCTACCCTTTCATCCTTAAACGTATGATGTGATGTAGTCAGTTATCATGATTAGACGTCCTCTTTGTTTTAGGATCCCATATGGTCTCATAAGATAACGTGTTGGATTGATGGTTGCATCATTATCATGGCATTTAGCCAGTTATGTGTAGAGTTCAAGTGTACACCACGGGGTGGCCAGGTAGATAACAAGGGTGACCCTTAATGCCCTTGTTCCCTCCATTCCTTAGATACGGCCCTGTAAGTGAGGAGTTTCTGTCCCCTATCCCAACAACAACATAATCCTATTTAGTTTTTAGTTTTAATGACTTTGTTTGATTGATGGCAGAGCTTGTGACAAAGGTCCCCAGCCACAATTGAACCTGGGATGATGTGATTAGTCTAACCTTGACATCATTTTTAAGTCCAAACCGTGAACCATTCTCAAATAAAATAAAAATAAAATAAAGCATTTCAAAGCATCCACATTATGGATGAATCTTATAGCCATGTTTATCCTATGGCCTTCACAAGTACACACACACACACACACACACACACACACACACACACACACACACACACACACACACACACACACACACACACACACACACACATACACACACACACACACACACACTCCTTTAGATTGCTCCATTGATCAGACGTGGAGAATCCCCTGGTGTGCTCATTTAATTTACGATGGATAATTAATTTCTGCTCATAGATTCACAGCGGAACTCCCTATCCTCTCATCCCTTTGATGTGAGCAGGTTTTCCCATAACAATGCAATTTATCTCATTTGTGAGAGATTTGACGAGTAAATGGGATTTGCTTCTTACCTCAAACTGAAATTTAACTTTAAGAAGAAGGGAGAAAGGAGAGATGTGCAGCTGTAGCCTATTTACTCTGTCTGTAAAGACAGTAATGCATTGTGGTTTTCTACTTTCAAGAGTATTAATGGAAAACTCAGTCCTATCTGAATTAAGGCAGCAGGTTAAGTGTTTGGGCAGAATTGTTTCAGGACTTAAAATACAAATATTGGTGCTCCCCTTGCAAACACGCTACGCAACGGCAACACTGCACTTTCAAAAACAGTGTTAATGTAAAAACACTACTGTGCCAAAAGAACATGCAAATTAATAAACATATTCACCAACACATGCGCAGCATTTAAAAACATTCACCAACTTGATGAAACATTGTGTTTTGTCAGTATGTTTGAATTGACTAGGTTAGCGACTTTAGCTAGCTAGCTTATAGCAGATCTGTAATAATATCGGAAGGAATTATGCTGTCACATTGTTAAAATAAACCAATAAATCCTACATTTGAGGTGGGTTTCCAGTGACAGTTGGCCAACTTTATTATCCCCGAATGTCATTGAGTGCTCTTGTCCCAGCTATGTGCATCACTATTTAGTGTCCCTGTTTCCGTTGTGAGCTTCTTGTAGCGAATAGTAAATGTTATTATTTGCAGCGTGTTGATTATGCAGAATCTTTAGTAAACGCAACACATATTTCTTAATTTGCATGTGTTTTGCCACGTGTGTTCTTTGTCATTTGCATTGTTTTTGAGCATTGTATTTGCAGCACGATATTCCTAATGGAAGTGTTTTGGGATGTTGTAAAGCCTTTGCCCCTGGTGTGGCCACCATAGTTTTGGCAACAAAAACAAGAATCATAGCTGATAAAGCAGATGAAACAAAGTTGAAATGTTCTTCATTTGTCCTTACCTTCATACTGGTGTTATACTGTAACTGCCAACTGTCAGGTGTGATGATAATAAAACCGCACAGGGAGTCAGTGATTTGACTCTGACGAAGCACATTCTACATAAAAAGCGCCATTCCAAAATACAAGGCATATCATTTTAAGAGCAAATGTATCATTACCAAAAGTTGAAGGGCCAATCTGAAAAAGATTGGACGTAATTTACCTGCTGTCCTTCAAACCGACTTGTTATTTCTTCCAATTTTGTGCTGTCAATCACTTAGCAAAGGTAGAAGTCCCATTTATCAAATGATGGACGTCTCATATTGGCACGTAATTATCCGAACACGGCAGGAACAGCTATCCCATTAACTCCCATGAAACACACGCCATCCATGTCAAGAGACTGCTTTCTCAGCCTGGGTGCAGTTGTACAGAAAAGTTGTATCACTTTTCACGTTAAAAAAGAAGTGTGATTGCGTTCCATAAATGATACGATGACCTTGGACAATATATCTATAAACCTTGCACTCAAATTAACCTAATCAGCTTATTTGCGAGATATAATACAAAAGTACAAATGCATCTGGAACTAAAGTGTGAAATTGTTCAATCATTAAGAGGCTTTTATCTTACTCCTCCTCACTGATGGCCTGATTAGTGATAAGGCAACACGAACAGGAGGTGTCCATGCATGAGTGTCTTTAGAGCTGCATTTTTCGTTATCTTTATATGAGAAATGGCTGCAACAATCATGTTTGACAAACCTAGAGAGAATGACAGACTCTGCAAATTCCCTCAGCTCTATGCAGTATTTCCTTGTTTTGGCATATCAGTCTACAACTTTTGGTTAAGTCTCTCGGCTTTCATTACTATTTTCCAGCTAATTTACTGATCACACACAGTACTGTGGTGCTATGGTACTATGAGGTGAATGACGGCCCCCTAAAACTCATGGATTTTGTCATGGATGTATGCTGCTACTGTATGGAGTAAAACATTAGGCTAGTAGCTTGGCTAGTGAGACATGTCAAGCCTCACTGTGTCACAATATGCTGTTGTCAGCCTGTTACCGTGTGTTTTTTTAGGCCCTCACGTTACACCCGTTCTGAATGTTATTAATCCATTTTGTGGCAAAACTATACGTAACTGCACATTGTGAAACAGTCACATTTTTAAACATGTCGTAATCATTGTGAACTAAAACAAAGCTTAGGTAGAGGCAACAAAACAACAAAAGATCATGATTTGGGTTCAAATGTTTTTTACATAACTTACGTTATTTATGTACATTCAGTACGTAGCTACCGTTAAGGAAGGCAGTGTTCTGGGAGTGACGCTGTCTTTGCCACTCTTTTATAGGTTATATAATAATCAATAATTGAAGACAACATGCTGCTAAGCCCATGATGACACAAATGTATGCTAACGATGACAAATAACAACGACGATCTAATGGGATAATAACACCTGAAGTGAGTGCATGTTGCCGCCTGTGGGGATTTCTCTTTGTTTGGCCATTCTGAGAAAGTGTCAATACTCTCAAATGAAACACCAAGAGTCTCAGCAGCCTGACTAAAGAGTAGGAAAACCTACGGATTAAGTCTTTAATTGGTTTTCAGGCCTTCGAACTTGTTGCCTCTAAAACTCTCTACAGTACTTATCCCCCGGCTGGAGAGTGTTTTTACATTAAGTAAACATAAAAGGACCACAATCTTAAACTTTGTATCATTCTAGAACCTAAACTCACTCCGTCTCTCTGCAGGTGTGCTTGCTGGAGTGCGAGGGTCACGTCTCTGCTTCGATCACATGGGAGGTCTGTAAACGTGCTGTCAAGCTATCTCACCATCCCACACTTTCCGAGGTAGGCGCTATGTTCAAGAGAACCGGAGAGGAGCTGGAGTTGACCTCTCTTGACCTGAACTCGGACAGTGAACTGCTGCAGTCTGCAACCGCAGAGCGCTTCCAGGAGGGGGAGCAGGAGGAGGCCCCCTTTGAGCAGCGCAGTGCCCAGTATGACTCATCACTGCTGGAATCCTCCGAGGAGGGGGAGGGCCTGCGGGGCCTGGATCTCAGTCTGGAAGAGAGGAAGCAGAGGGAGGAGAGGAATGTGGAGAGTGACAGCCAGCTAGAAGTGGAAGAAGATGACGGCTCGGAGGCCATCACCTTATCCAAACGCTTTGGTGGCTTTCAGAGGGGGCGCCATGGATACAGGAAGCTGATTGGCTCGCCCATTAGGCCCCTACAAAAGCGCTACGGCGGGTTCATAGGTGTCCGGAAATCAGCCCGTAAATGGAACAGTCAGAAACGTGTGAACCAGCTGCTCAGGCAGTACCTGGGCATGAGGAGCAGCCGCAGCGGCCGGCTCACCAACAACCCTGTAACTCGGGTGTGGAGGCAAAACAAACTGTAATGTATTTCTGTTGCTCTCACTACCCCAGTTACCTCGACCAATCATGTTTCCAGCAGCTCACTCCAATTTGAAGTGTGACGTCACCAACAGACTCCGCCATCTCGCTGCACCTCTCTCTGTGTCTCTCAGTAATGAGGAATGTTTTGACCTTGATGTCCTTCTTATTAAGCATATTTTCATGCCATTATGTGAAATAAAATAATTAGAGAAGTTCAATTGAATATATTTTTGTGTGTTGGTGTAATAAAAGGGGCCAAATGAGTTCGGAAAACAGGTTCACTGCAAGCTTATCACCAGAGGTGAGACCTGAGAGTGTGACATTTAAAATCATGTTTAATGCACTTTCATCAATGTGTGGATGGGACTGAAGTAGCTTCAGTGTTTTTTTGCATTCTGTAGTTTGTTACAAATGTCCAGCTCTCATGTAATAGACTTAATTTTGCTAAATATGTGTCCTTTTAAAACGAAATGGACTAATTGGACCAGCACGGTGCTTTCAAGATGGTTCCATCAGACGGTTGGACAGTGCTAAAGCACAAACTGTTAATTACTAGTTAAATAATCTAATTTTCTGCGTGAGGAACATAATTAATTAAACACAACAGAGGTGAAATTGGTTCTGAAAGCACCTAAGCTCAGCATCTCCCCTGAAAGAAAAAAAACCTTGTTCTCATTGCTGAGTATTGGCAAAAACACGTCTTTGTCCTTTCTAATGTATTCTGATTTTGGCCATTTATCCGGGGTTATTAAACTTGCAAGCGATGATTTTCTCTTACAGGAATGAGCAGCAGGTTGTCAGGCTCCATGAGGTTCTCTAAATGGAACAACACTGTCCTCTAGTGTTTGAGGAACAAACATGATGCCTTTGGATTCTGACTGGGGATCAGTTTTGCCATGTTCTCAGCTAAATTGTATGCCATTTTGGATTTGTCTGCGGTTACAGTAAATTATGATATTACCATAATATGTCAAGCATTACATGTCACAGTCAAATTTAGAGATCAGAAAATCTAAAATAGAAAATAGAAATTCCAGTGTTTTAATCCTTCATTCTCTGAGTATTAATAGTTTCTGTATGACAGATAATGGATTAGACACAAATATTTTTGCATTTTTAAAAGATTCTTTGGAGCCCCCATTGACTTAAAACTTAAACATTTGAACACCCTTCCTCGAACTAAAATTGAATGTGCATCATTCATTTAACTATTATACATAACTAAATGTCACCCATAACCTGTATCTGAATAAAATAATACAGTTTTATTATGACCATAAATATTCAAATTTTAAAAAGTTTGATTGGTTGAATATTACTGCCACTCAATTTAAAAAAGCAATACTGTCTTAATATACAGCTGTTAGACGTAAGAAGCCTGTAGTAGCATGTTCTCCCTGCAGCCAAATTACAAAATATGAGTTATATTATAATTTTCGTATGGTTCCTAATTCACCCTGCAATTATAGAAATTAGGCAGTTAAAGTCTTGTTAAGGCGTAACTCAGGATCAAGGAGAAACTAATTCCCAGTCAGTTTTCAAACATTACTCCACCCAAGGCTATTTGCACAGCTGTTAATGACACTGTAGTCCAATTATACCTAAGTGCATGAAGCACTGGGTGTGTGTCACACGTTAGGATGGTAAAGGAGGTGAAACCAGCTCTGAAAACCATCGTTTTAAAAAACCATTCAAGAGCAGAGAGATGAAATGAACTTTGCATGTCAGATGGGACCATTATGTTACGGAATAATATGTTGCCTGGGTGAAAAAGTGGTTTTTATTTCAAGATCTTTACCCCACTTGTAGCTCATTATTTTGCATCTTAATAGTGTTTATTAATGTTTGACTATGAGGTGTAATGCCTGGGTGTGTGGGTGATCGCAAAGTGTGTGACTGTGCACATGCATGTGTGCATTTCTCTGTCTATCTAACACTCAAAAAATTGAATTTGTGAATACAGTGTACATTTCAGACGACATTTCTAACATTATACCATTGTTCTAAGTCTTCATACAAAATGTGTATAGAGAAAACTACAATAAAATAGTTTGCTATTTCTTTTGTGGACTGTCATGCGGAAGAAAAAAATACATTTCAAGTTATCAGTGCTTTTTAATTTGTGTTTGACAATATATTTTTTCTCGTAATTATTGCTATTACAAACTCGTTTCCCTAACGCTAGTCGTCCCACTGTCATGACTCGATAGCTTCAGGGATAAAACCTTTAACACTGGTCGTATGCCAACACATGGGCAGGAAGGAAATATGAACTTGGTTGAGTCGAACCAATTTTAGCTTATTCTTGTGAGTTTATATTCCAACAAAGTGCCAAAAAACATGAAAGTTCCCAAAAAATAATCTGCCCAATACACAGGCGGAACAAGACAATTAAAAAAAAGGTATAAAATACTCGTACGTAACTCAAAGCACACAATATAATGTACATCATAACCACTGTGTAACCACTGGAAGAGAAGGTTGGAATAAAGAAAAACAGCCAAGTAGCAATCTAATACAGTGGAGCTACAGGGGCAGTTATATAACCTTTGGATAAAGTAGAAGAGTATTGTAGGCTTAGCACGTCACATGGTTAAAGTCAGTCAACAGTTAGCACCATCGCAGACTTCAGTTTTCAGGATCAAGTTACAAAGATACAGAAAAGTTCATTTGCATTTCTTCAGAAAGAAAATTAAAAGGTTGAGGCTACATCCACACGGATACGATCTCCGTAAACACAAGCGTTTTAGCACCGTTTCAGAAAGAACCTCCGCCAATATTAACACGCCTGATAACACATATCACATGACCATTTATTTACACTGGGTCTGCGTGTGCCGGTGTAAACAGAAAGCTGATAGTCTAATGTGAGGTTAGTTGTTTAGTTCCAGAAAGTACTACGGAGGAACAACAGCAATGGCGGAAAGTATCACCAGAGACGAGGTTGAACTGTTACTGACAGAAACTCAAAATATTAATGCGGTAAAGGCCGTGAAAATAATCCATAGATTGGGAGTCAGTGCAAAGCACATACATTAATGTTGTTGCTTTTCGGTAAAATATTAAGTAATGGGGACCTGTTGAAGTGGGAAAGGACATGATCTACAAAGACATGCAAAAAGTAAGCTAACGTAGGCGTCATCATTTAAAAAAGAATCAGTTGCCTGTTAAACAACAGTACGCTGACATAAGATTTAAAAAGACTGTTTCCACTTATACAAGAACAGTAAACTAGCGTAGGCTTTAGCCCTTTCAAAAAACTATTTCTCCTCCCGTCAAGCAACCGTAAGCGAACATAGGCTTTAGCATTTTTAAAAGACTCTGTTTCTGCCTTTTCAAGAACAGTAAGCTAACGTAGGCTTTAGCATTTTCAAAATAAATGTTTTTTTGCCTTTAAAACAAGTTAAAGTTAGCTTTGAAAAGACTGTTTCCACCTGTACAAGAAAAGTAAGCTAGCGTAGGCTAGCTGTAGCCTTTTAAAAGACTCTATTTCTGCCTGTAAAATAACAGTAAGCTAACGTAGGCTTCATCATTTCAAAAGATTCTGTTCCTGCCTGTCCGGACTGAAATGCAATCCCAGAATCTTCAGACATAAATGGGGTCAGCAATGTTTCAAAAGTCTCTGCTTTATTGGTTCAAAATCACCAATTTTGTTATGTGGACATGAGGCGTTAATGTATCAATATTATGTGTTTTAACACGAAACATGTATTTGTGTGGATGTAGCCTGAAAATAAAAACAGATGTGTTTTTTCTTATAGGCTCTCAGGCCCTGGATTATATCCTCTTTTTGATAAAAGTCTCTTTTTATCATTCATCCATTCATTCACGTCTTCGTCTCTCATGCTCTCGCTCTTCATCACACAACAGTCTTTAGTCGGGGAAGCGCTGGCAGGCTTTTTTCCAGCGACAGGCGGTGCACCACTGATCCTTGCGCTCCACTCCATACACCTTACGGCACTTTTTGGCCTCACCACGACCCTTCCTGCAGATGCAAAGACAAAAATCATGAGGAAGAGAAGGGATGTGAGGAAGCAGGAAATGAAGGGGTGCTTACACCCACGCTTAATGTGATCAAACTCTATAAAGGTAGATGAGACTGAGGGAAGATAGAGTGATAACAAATGAAGAGAAGATTTAATCAATTTTATCTCTCCTGGCCAAGCAGTAAAAATGTGAGTTTGCAGACGGCAGCAAAGTGGGAGATAAAATGGCCACCTGCAGGTGAAAGATATTGGACAGACACTGGAATCAAAAGAGAAAACAGCAGATAGATGTGTGGCCCCAGATCAATAAAGATTCATTTACACTCAATGTTCAAACTGCATGGCACCTCTCTGATAGTGTTCTGCAGTGATATACCAAATATAAATCTGTCTGTCTATAACTGTTCGCCCCACCACTAATCTCATTCGATTATCAAAATCTATTAATCCTCCAAATAATAAACTGCAGATACTATGATAACTGTTTGATAGTTGGAGTCCTAGGTTAGACATTTAGTGTGGGAATTGCTACTTTGTTGTCTTGTGTAGATAATTCATTTAATAACTTTTGATTTTGAGCAAATACATTTGATGATGTCACATTGGTATTTAGGAAATTGTTATGGACATTTTCAACAAGTGTGTGATATTTTATTGCTTGAAAATCCTCTCAGCACTCACCTGAAGGAGCAGTGAGTGCGGGAGGGGGAAGCAGTCATAGGCTGCAGCCTGTTCTGCTGGAGCCACTGTTCCCCCACACTGACGGAGCGACAGCGAGGCTTCACCACCTGAAGAAACATTACCTCACATTTAGTACAAATGCACAAGGAGTATCATACAAGGGACAGAAAATGTGTATTTTATAGATAGCTGTCAAGACATGTTTCATTGTCTTCTTTATAGGTTCTTATGTTACAATGTGAAAGAGACTAAATGATAGAGAAACATCATATAAGTCAGAATAGGACAGAAGACCCACCGGAGTGTTACTATGGCCCGAGACGGAGGCAGAGGGGTTCCAACCCTCGCACCCGGGGGTCCTTGAGGCCACAGATACCTGGACGGGGCTGCAGGCCTGGATGAAACAAAAGAGGGAAGACAACACATGATCCATCTTATCGGTTTGATCTTATTTATTTTGTCATATAAAAAGTAAGTGTTCCCCCTTTTCAGCAAAATTAGCGCATATATGGAGGTTTTTAGGAAAACACGAAAAGGGCTTTAGACCTGATGCCAAAAGAAGAGTATGGATCTCGTTTTTTTTTTCTTCTAGGTTGTCACGGTTGACATCACAGAAAGTCAAAATAAAGGTTACTTTATATCTGTCGTAGAGCAATAACATTTCAGTAATATCCATAATACGAAACCTTATGAATGGGAATATCCACTTTGTTATATATGAAGTAACATTCAGTGTGCCTAATTTAGAAAAATGAAAAAACGTGCTGATGAGTTCAGCGCTGTGGTCAGGCATTTCAAACCACAAGCCCCCAGCAGACATGACATACAACTCCTCCACTGGCAGCATTGAACCACGATTCACCCCACACTCTCAATTAGGGACCACCCACTGGATTTCTACATCCACAAGGAAATTAAAGACAAATGTGGTACAAAGATTAACACATCTCTATTGTATGAAAAATGTGTTAAGTTTGCATGGGACATTTTTCTGAAAGATTGTAGGTTTTTTTAGTCCAAAGGGAGCCTGGTGATGTGAACATCGAGCTGTATCCACTGTAAAACCACACAGGGAGACTTCATGCCTGCCTTTTACAGGCTGGTGAGAGTCTGGTCTCCTTGGGGGAGCCGGCCTGCCGACAGATTACTCTCTCACTGTCACAAAGCATCCATTTACAGGTCCAGTGGTGCGGGGTAAATGCAGGTCACCAGTGAAATGTGCTGCATTGTGATGAATAAACAAAGTTGTTGCTCATTGGTTGGTGAGAGGGGTATCTGCACGGGATAGGAAACTATCACTTTGCATCATAAAATCCTGTATACACACACACAACATGTATGCCTGACATTTAATAATTTATGCTAACTAGTGCTGTCTCCTTTGTCTTTTTCTATCCTTTTTCCTGTTGTTCTCAAATAATTCCAGCCTAAAAACAACGCATACTTCACAGAATAACTAATAAACTCTGAATTTAACAATTATTTATTGAAATTAGGGATCTTAAATGGCAATTCTCACAATTGTATTTTGTTATTTTTTTGTATGTAATTCAACCGCAAAAACTCTCGTATTATATGGATTGAGTGTCAAATAGGGACTAACAATATTAACCAAGCTAGATGTCTTCCCAGTGGCGATCCTAGAGTCGGTGGGGGCCCTAGGCAAACATTCACTGGGGGCCCCTCGAACCAGCTTTTCACCACCACCCACAGCCGACAGCAGCCCCCCCGGAGCCGAGCAAGGCAACAAAACTTAAGATGAGAAGCAGCATTTTACAGCGCGCTATGCATGGGGCCGCCTTGAGGGGGTTTCCCGACATGTCGTTGCAGTAAATTAAAGGGTGTTTCATGTTGTCATTGCTGTGGACCTTCTTAATCTACCTTCTTTGGGGGCCCCCTTCTGGTCCGGGGCCCCAAGCAGTTGCCTGCCTTGCCTGTTCGCAAGGAGCGCCCCTGTGTCTTCCTCTTTTGCAGATGTTAAGCTATGCTAATTGGTGACCTTGCAGCTAGAAAGGTAAACAGTTCCCAATTGTAAATGTCAGAATCGGTCTAGGTTTTCTAAACTGTTAAACATTTAAAAAAAAAACATGGCATTGATGTTAACGAAAGGCTCATTAGACTGTACCTCCCGCTATGGAGAACTGCCGTTCAATTTTACTTGCAAGCCAATCAGAGCAGACTTGCCTTTTTTGGGAGGGGGTCTTAAAGAGACAGGCGCTCAAACAGAGTGAATTTTAGAAAGCTGGTGAATATATACTCTTCAGACAGGCGGAATACACAAACAATTTGTTTTTGGAAAGTAAAAACATGTTAACATGTTCTAGTAGCAACTCAAATTACAAGTATGAAGCTGGGAATTAGAGCTGCACAATTCATAATTTTTTTTTACCGAAATTGCAATATGGACTACTGTGATATTCAATTTGAGGGAAGCCCAATATTTATTTATTAATTTGTGTTAAAATAGCATCTTAAAGAAAGTATTTTGGAGAACCCTGCATACAAATCGTCTCTACAAATACAACAAAAGATACTTGCTAGCAATTGACTTAGGCCACGTTTACACAGAGACAAAACGGAACCGCGGAAATGGAGCCCTCAAACGGTAACGGGTCCCAAGGTGGGTAGATCTGTGGACGAAGCGCTCTGGGGGGCCTAACGGCTCCGTGTGTACTTCCTTTACGATCATTTCCTGATAACGATGAAGCCATAGCCCCGCCTCTCCCCACCTCTGCTGCTCACTGCTGTAGCATGGTCAGTAGCTACTGCTGCTGACCATACTGCAGATAGTGCAAAATCTACAGCTCCTCTACCACAACCATCAGCAACAAGTGGACATGGAGAACTACATGAACTACATGTTGCTAAATCCACCATGGAGAATAAACAGAAGGGCAACCAGGCAACCATGCTCGGGGGTCTTCTTCGCTGCTTTTGGTGTATTTTGTGGCGGAAGTACAGCGCCACTTACAGGCCCGGCATATGTACTACAGCGTCTCCAGCGGGTCGAGCGGTCTCGTATGGACGGACACGTTTCTTGAGCCGATACCGCGTGGACGGAAGACTTTTTTTATATCAAATTCGGTTCGTTCTCCGTTTCGTCTCTGTGTAAACGGAGCCTTAGAGCTGCACCCACCTGATACAGATGCTCCGAGTGGATCTGCCAGAAGCTGCTGGGGGCTGACTGGCTGAGCGGACTGGGCCTGCTGGGGCCCGGCCCGGAGCTGGAGTTGGACCGGGGTCTGTGAGCTGGAGGGATCTGGACCCCAGAGGCCGGAGGAGTATCGCAGGGGGCCCAGCTGAGATGAGAGGACGAGGCCTGGCCCAGATCCTGCTGGGACGGGGCCGGAGTCGGGGGGGAGTCCACGCTCTCACAGGAGAACTTGGTGTAGTAGAAGTCTTCTTCTCTCTGGGACTGATCTGACGCACTGCTGTGTGTTGGTGTGTGTGTTTTTGGCAGATGGGACGGACAGGGTAAAATGAGTGAGTTGTTTGTTCGGAACATTAATGAATGCAGCACACACTGTGGCCCAGATATAAAATCTCACAAATGTTTCATCACTTCCCGCAACTAATGTTTTTCCCTCTTGTTTTTTCAATGCAGCTCAGACTACAATGGAGGAGTCGCTCCAAGGCTCAAATATTAGAATGTCTAACAGGGATAAAATGCCCTCTTTATCCTATCTCCATAATTATAAAATCACCTTCATGATTTCTTCATGTTTTAAAAAATAAAACCTGCGGAAATATTGCTAATAATTCCAAATTAGGTGTGTGTGTCTACAGAAGGTCCAGTTGTGATAGACACGGTTCGCCACTGATGTATTAACATAAAGGTACACCATATACATTTGTATACTTCTCTTTAAGTTAATGGGAAAAAGTATAAATAATCCTGGGCTTATACTTTTTTTATACTTTACAATAATTTTCCTTCAGTCCCTAAATTATCTAAAAAGTTTAATTTAAAACTTAGCTTTTGTATCAGCGCCAATATTGATATATTTCAAAGAATAACCATCACATATAAGCCTGAAACTGATATGATTGTAATTGTAACTCACCCGAGATGCAGCACACGGATGTGTCTTTTTATTCCGACTGAAGACGTGAGCACCTTGCCACAGCTGGGCCACAGACACCTGTACACACTTCTGAAAGAGCTCTGAGGGAGAGAAGTAAACATGGCATAGGTAAAGCACATGAAAGGAAATAAGGGGAAATGTGAAAAAAGACACAAAGTACAAAGAGAAAACAGTCTTAACATAAATATATACCGCTTTGTACCTTTGGCTTTTTGGCATTAAGCTCTTCCCCCTGCTCCAGCTCCATCTGTAGGCCTTCATCGGGGCTGCTGTCAATCTCAGTGACGGACGGCGAGGGGGCAGGGCTTACGTTGCCGTGGTCCCAGCTCCAGTAGCCACTGCTGCCACTGTCGGAGAGCTCTCCACCACCACACTCCATGTCAGCTGAGGTCGAGGCGGCTGGAAAACAGGAAGTAAAGTTTCAAAAAATGCAATGCTCTCTGTTCCTTTATGACTAAAATAGACACTGCATTAGGGACTGCTGCTTTCTTCTCTGCCCATTCTACAGACAACAGCAGGGGTTCAATAAGTGTGCCAAAGTTTTGATATGTCTCTATTTTCTAACACCATTGTATCAGTTTCTCTGTACCCTGTTTATTGCTATTTGAAGCTATGTAGGGTTTATTTCTGGCTAAAAGGCACTGGCTTCTGGTTGAAAGTCTCTGAACTGTTCAAAAATAAGTGGTTGGGGATGGCTGGTGTCCCCAGCGCCTTTCTGAAAAGTTAAGAGTTTATCAACAAGAACCGTTAGGAGTTGTTGCAAAAAAAAGTAAAAGAGATCTGAAACGATGCTGGCCTCAGCTATGTTTTACCAGTACAGCCCTATACAGTACGAGCTCTTTTTAATGTTTAGGAACTCAAAATAAATGATGTTTTATTTTTCCAAAATTCATAAAGCCATCAGTTACAACCTAAAAGCTTTTTCGAAGGATATTATAAAGTGGACATACAGTACAGGAGTGAGGCCGTGTGTAGAGGGGGGACAGACAGACAGACCTGGTCTAGGATCACTCTGGGGAAGGCTCTGCACCACGGGGCTGCAGGACAGGCTGGTCAGAACCATGGCCGCCATGATCTCGTCCATCTCCACTGACTCCGGACTGCGGAAACTAAATAAAATAAATATCATTAGACTTTATGAAGACCACCTTCAAACACTTGCATACTGTTCCCTGTCCCTCACCAGTAGGGTGCCTCTCTAGCAGCTGACCTATTGCCCGGGTGCATTGTGGGTCCCACAGAGTGAGAGGGGGCAGCCATGTTGCTCCAGCCTCGCTCAGCCTCCCTCTGCAGCTGGACTGATGTCCTGTTCTTCTGATGGCCGCTCTCCATCAAACCTTTTTCAGCCTGGCACCTCGGTGTACACACCTGTGGAAGGAAGTGATGAAATAATTAGATCCCGGTTCAAATCTGCAACAGGTGTTTGTACTGACAGAACACTCCCAGTTAGTAAATCAAGAACTGGATTTTTTCATGCACTTAAACATTTTGGGATATACTATTTCTTCTTTTAGACTAGTGAAAAACACTTTTAGGGGTTTATATTTACCAACTTGTTTATTTGATTCTCCTAGAATTTACCATATTTAGAATGAGGTAATAAATAATTTGCAGTTTTAAACATAACATTTTCAGCAATGATTGTCCTCATGTGAGAAATACCCGGGGGGGAATTCAACTTTGTGGCCTTATTCCCCTGTAGTGTCGTACAACATGTATGGAATTTAACAAAAGTAGAACAATCTTTAAAAAGGTGTTTTCACAAAATGTGTATTCGTCCCATACTTTCAACTACAAATCTCCACTTCAGTAGCCCTTCCAAACACCAGATGTTTCAGTTTAATACTTATATCTATGATTTGGATTTTACTGCAGGGTTTGTTCATTTCAGTTATATATGATTTAAATAGCATTTTATTCCTTAAAAACATAGCAATTCTTTATCCTAAGGCTGTGAATTATAAATGATAAATTAGCAAAAAATGAATAAAATTAAGTAAGAATGTGCAATAATTTTTTTTCACTTAAGGGTGGGGTAGGTACTTTTGGAGAAACCAGCTTGAGTGTGCTAGAGAATCTCCTCCAACACACACGAACGCGCACATGACCAATGAGGGCACGAGATAAGTTTGTGCACAGATGGAAGGCTGACAGGCAGGTAGGCCATCCAGTTACTTTAGCCGGGCCGGCTAAAATGATTGGTCGTGCTTTTTACAGCGCCACGGCTTCCACAGATGAAATTTTTTTATGTATTTATTGTCAAAGCATTTAATGTATTCATTGCTGTCGGGATGTTGAGAGCATTCCATGGAATATAACAAAAAGTGTTTCTGAAATAAATTACATACCCCACCTTTAAACATACAATAAAATCAAAAATATGAATGTCAACAAAAGGAGTTATGTGCATATTATACTTAAAAATGTGTACATTTCTGGCAGCATTGCCCTCTTATTTGCAGCAGCATTATGCCGATATATATATTTTTAAATATTCTAAAAAGGCAGAAGTTGGCAGCCATGGAAACTCAAAACCCAAGCAGAGCCTGAGGAGGAAAGTGTTGGTTAATAAAGACAGTTGAAGTAGTATCCATTCTCTCTTAAATGGTGTAAAACAAAGCATGGGAAATCTCAGGAGTAATAAACAGGGGTCTCGTTCCTCTGCGTTTCTCACCAGAGTGTTCTGCATGTCTGGCTCGTTGTTGCTGTGCGTGGTTGTAGAGGTGCAGGCCTGCAGGCCGGGGGGGCAGACTGCAGCCCCCCCCGGCCCTTCTTCAGCTCTGTCCTCAGGTCCCGTAGCTGCCATGGTGCTGTTGCACACAATAAGGGGACTCAGCACACTGACACACCTCCCTGCAGAGCAGACACGTGGATCAACATGAGGTTAGAACAATATAAACATCTGAATGCATTTTCATATCCTTCTACAGCAATGGAATATTCAAAAAGGTGGTTATTAAAAAGGGCAGTTCAGCAATTACACTCCTAAAGTTAGGGTATTTGCAAGAGCTAAATAAAGAAAAAAAGCAGCAGATGTCGAGATATTCTGACTCTTGAAGATATAATATGCAGCATTTTCATAATTATATTTTAAAAAAGTATTACACTTTCCAAATGTTTTCAACAATTTCAAACCTACATAAATCTGTAATTCAAAGTTAACAGTCAGTTTCATTTTGTCGAGTCAGCGTTAGAGACACTAGATCCTACAAATCCCACAATGCAACTTAATAGTATATTTTTGTATTCAAACATTAACCAAAGATAACCCTGATGACATCAACAAGTACTCCTGTTGAAGAGTAAACTGAACTTCCTGGCTAAAATCAATGGAATGCTCCTTTAAATGAGTATTTAAATCACCTTCATCCTACCTCAAATTCCCCATACATTTCTTTAGGTAACTGTTGTTGTTGTTATAGTTGAGCATATTCCTTCTGCAATATGATTTATGAAGGTTATTTCCAACTAGGAAGAATATTTTTGGATTAAACCATGACACATATTAGGATTTTTCTAATGAATACATATGTTGATCCTAACAGAAGGATGCTGTGCCGACTAGTAAGGGTTGGCAAACACTCATACACTCATTCCATCTTGCATGACAGTGCAGAGCAAAAACCCCACAGGGGATTTGATAATGATGGCAGGGACTTGTAGTAAACACAGACTTGTGGATTAAGCTGGGCCAAATCTTGCTGAAGTCTCTTTCTTCACTCTAATAAAGCATGTGACTGATATCACGTTCCTGATATTTAATTTGGCATCTGGGGTGAAATCATTATGGCCTGTTTCCCATAGAGGTAAAAAAAAAGTGAATGCTGCCTTCAGGGCAGGTGGGAATAATGCTAATGAATGGTCAAATGGCTCAAAGTAGTGATTTTACAACATTGATCATCAATCATTTACTATGTTTCAAGTATTATGGAAATGTAAGGCTGTCAATCTCCATGACTGACATTGCATGATTAGTCAACATTATCTTGACCATAAACAAACCACTTATTTGGTACATGACATACAGTCTGGAGATCCTCTGCATGCCAATGTGTCTTTGGTTAAAGGTGGGGTGTGTAACTTTGGAGAAACCAGCTCGAGTGCGCCAGAATTTGAAAATACACAGCCGGAAAAATCTGCCACTTCCTTACAGAGCCCCTCCTCCAACACACACGAACGTGCACATGACCAATGAGGGCACGAGATAAGTTTGTGCACAGATGGAAGGCTGACAGGCAGGTAGGCCATCCAGTTACTCAGTTACCCGGCTCAGATGATTGGTCGTGCTTTTTACAGTACTACGGCTTCCACAGATGACATTTTTTAATGGATTTTTTGTCAAAGCCCTTAAAATATTCATTGCTATCTGGATGTTAAGAGCATTCCATGGAATATAACAAAAAGTGTATCTGGAGCCGGTTTCTCAAACTTACCTACCCCACCTTTAAGGTGCAGAATCCCAAATTGCTCACAAATATATAGCCATTAGTGTGGGTACATTTTGGCATGTAGTGTAAAGTGTTCACAAGACCAGAAACATTTACTTTTTGAGCTTATTTGAGTTCACAACAGAATACAAATTAAAAGGCTAGGAAATTTGATTTGATTAGACCAATAAACTATTTTCTGAAATGTTGCAAGTGACATAAGAAAATGTGTGCTAGTTGCCCTAAACAATGAAAATATAAATATTTATTGTGGTTATGATGATGATTATTTACATCATTTGTATTAACATCAATATAGGTAGAACAGAAAAACACGTACATGTGTACATACATGAAGTCTTAACAATCCAGAATCAGAAAGTAGAATTTGTGCAATACAAATATCTCGGGACAATTATTGACTCAAAATTGAGCTCTGATCCAAACTGTGAAGCTGTGTGCAAAAGGGGGCACCAGCGTTTGTACTGTCTTAGGAAATTGTCCTATTTTAACATTGACAAAACCATGATGATTATGTTCTATCGTGCTTTTATCGAGTCAATTCTGTCTTTTTCACTAGTGTCATGGTTTGGTAACCTGACTTTAAAGAGCAGAAACTCTCTGAGTCAGATCATAAAGTGGTCCAGCAGACTGATTGGTGAGCCACAGCTAAACCTGGAGACCCTGTACCTCAGGCAGTTACAGCGGTTATCCAGCTCCATATTAGACGATGACTCCCACCCTCTGCACTCAGAATTCAAGCTTCTTCCTTCGGGCCGGAGGTTACTTGTCCCAAGGAGTAGAACGAAGCGGTATAAAAACAGTTTTATCCCAGCAGCTATTGCACAAATTAACACATCATAGGAGCGTCACACAGATGCCTATTTTTATTTATGTATTTAATTGTGAATTTTGAATGTCCATGTTTGTACTAGTGTTTTCCTTCTTAAAATGTTTTTTAAATATTTTGAGATTTGGTTGAGCAGGGTATACTTGTACTTTTACTAGTCCTTTAATAGAGATGTGTCTGTTGTTTGTTTTTAGTGTCAGGATGGAACCCTTGTCTTTTTCTCTGCAAACAGAATCTACCTACGGGTACAAATAAATAACCTGAACCTGAACCTGAACCTGAACCTGAACCTGAACACGGTTAATTCAGCCTTATGTTATGTTAAAGTAGTTTGTATCACAAAATAAATACTTTCTAAAAAATTGATGTTGTTCAGGTAATAGATCCTTAATACATGACAACCATTACAGGTTCTCATATAGAAGTCTGATGAAAAAGTGCAAAGTTATTCGGTTAAAAACATAGGTTAAAACTCTTCGCCTGGCACTATTTTCAACGAGAAGCTCAACTCTCCCATTATTTTCTATGCCTTTGAACGCAGCATAAAACCCTATTTCCCCCCACTTTGCACCAATCAGCGTCCAGCTTTAGTAGTAAACAAGTGCCAGAATATGGGCGGGGCACCTCCGCTCATTGGCTGAGCTCTGATTTTCAGGTACACACCTCCCTTCTGACAACGTGTTCAGACACGGGTTTCGCCGGGGGACCGGGCTGGAGGAGGGAAACACCGCTGAAAATAACCTTATTCATTCCTTTAAACGCAAAGAGATATAAAAGCGCACTAAGTTAAATATAAGCCGTAGCATAACAGAAAGAGAACATGTCGCGCGGTCAAACATGGTTGCTAAAACGAACAAAAACAATAACGTCATCGCTGATGTAGAGGCACATGCAATGAAACTCTTGTTTATGGAGGCGTGACACGCGCTTACATGCATTTTTAACACAATATCATTTAGTGTTTTCACAATAGCCTATATGCTTTAAAAGTAGCCTACAACAATGCACATTTAATGTACACGATATTTAAATGAGCACTTTTCCAAACAAAAACAACGTTAACATCGTTTATAGCTGTGGATATGGCTCGCTCTATGATAACAACCTTGATTAGAAGTCTTGGTTCATTATACTTTAACTACAACATTGATCTCCACCCGGCAACGCAGTTTGAGATCAGGAGAAAGACCCCCTCCTCCCTCCTCCCTCCCACTGCTGAAGGAAAACAACATTTTTACGAGCTCCCTGCAACACAAACCCTCCCGATTTGATACAAAAACAAACTACGTTCCGGTACTCACTGGTTCGGTGCAGATCTCGGTGCTTCCCGTGCTGTCGGAGCTGCAGCAGCTGGTCGTCGCTGCCTGGCTGTCCCGCCGTTCGCCGGCTCTCCAATCTGCTGCTGCCGGGGAGAAGGGGGTTGGTCGGTCGGATACGCGCCTACGTGTGTATGTTAGGCGAGCCAATGCCGGTGCTGGCAGCTGGGCAGAGCACAGAGAAATCAACCTCCAGCACGCCGTGCAGAAAGGATGATCTAGGTGAGGGGTTACCCGAGCATCAGCAGCATCTCTCTGTCTGTCTGTCTGTCTGTCGCAGGCACACTAACCCCTGCTTATTCATCTTAATCACATGAGCATTAACATGTTGATGATTTCGATTCTGTCTTTGATCAATAAAGCAATAAAGACATGCATAATTGGATGTTTCAGAATAAAATGCATTGGATTTACAGAAAAGGTATTTTTTTACACAATTTCCCTATATTGGATTCAGATGCTCCTAGCAATGATTATTATTATAATTTAATATTGTATTATATTAGTGGAAATTCATCATATTAATAGTTTTCATATTATATTGTCACCAAATATATACTCTATAGAATATTACATTTCTATACCAATGTTCTTAAACTGTTATTATATACAGTTATACTATAGAAATATCATAATAGTGACATTTATTGAAGCACATTGCTAGAATGTGCAACATATAGTGCTGCTATTTGTCTGATACAGAGAAATATTCTCGTGTTCGCTCATCTCAATCACACTATTATTAGAAATGTTCATGGTTTGGATTCTGTCTTTAATGAATAAAGCAATAAAGACATGGATAATTTGATGTATATACAAAATAAAATGCATTTACAAATGAAATGTCTAGGGGTATTTTTTTGTACACAATTTCCCTATATTGGATTAAGATGCCACTAAGCAATGATACTTTTATATTATTATATTGTATTACATTATTATTCAAGTTAGTATGTTGATATTTATTCTCTATATAGTCTTTATATAATTCTGTCTATATTTATACCAGCTCTACTGTTAACCTTTTACATTACATGTTACTTGTTAGACGCTTTTATCCAAAGCGACTTACATACTCAGTACTGTGGGCAATCCCCACAGGAGCAGTTTGGGGTGAAGTGTCTCAGGGACACAACGACATGCTGTTTGCAGTGGGGTTTGAACCTGCTCCCCTTATCCCAACATCAAGGCTCTATCCACTGCGCCACACGCCTCCCTATTTTATTTTATTATATACAGTTATCATATACTGTCATATGCTGTATATCATACAGTGCTATACTGTCATACTAGCTACAGTTAATACTGTTCAGAAGGTGTATATTGTAGCTTTTTTAATACACTTATATTAAACTTATATTGTTCTTTACATTACACTATACACTTAACCGCTCATCATGCATTTCGTTGTCTCACTACTTGTACTCTGTGCAATAATCAATAATCTATTCACTAAAACAATAATCTATTCTAATCTGTACAGTAAATAAGATCTGATAAAGGTTTCATTCAAGAAAAATATCAAATTACAAACTACCATGTCACTGAGAAATCACCATTCACTACTAATGCCATTAGAGATATATTAATAGTGACATTTATTAAAGCATATTGCTAGTGTGTGCAAGGTATAGTGCTGCTATTAATCTGATACAGAGAAATAACTGTCATTTCAATTGTACTTTAAAAACAGATTAGGGATCAACCCCTTCATGCTTCATATACCATTTGTAATGTAATGTCTCAAAACTCATAAAACAGCTGACACCATGGCATACGGCATATAAACCCCAAACATTACACGATTAATCGTCTGCACAGAGATCAAACACTTGCATGTGTGATTCCAGTGTGTGTGTTGCAGAGCCTGTGACTACATGTGTGTGTTGGAGAGGCTGGATTTTTCGTAGCAAGAGTGAAAATATTTACAAAAACTATAAACACTAGAACAACATGTTCAGGTTCATATTTGTATTTTGTCTCTCTACTGTGACATGTTTACATGCTTAAATGTTCCAAAAGGTCACCTGCTACAGCACTTTTTTTCAACCTCTGTCTGAAATGTGAGATGTGTAGGAAAGCCATGCCCTAAGCCTATCACGTCAAATGTGTCGCTGGTCAATAGAAGCACAGGTGCTACGTAGTGATGTCACTATGTTCCGGAAATAAACAAAGAAGTCACCAAAAGCATAGGTTTTAGAAAATAAGACCTATAGAAAATATCTTTAAAATGCTATATAGCAATGGGCCGCTGGATAACTCCGGGGTTAGGGCTGGCGGCCCATGTGCAGTCACTGCTGCCTAGGCCAGTTCGGGTCCAGAGCGGGCCGAACTATTGAGGCAATGTCCCCTCCCCCTTTCACTCTAAGTTCTCCAATAAAGGTACTCGGGCCCAAAAATACATAATAAAAAAACGATATTAATGATTTTAAGGGTACATAATTGATATATATTCAATGTTGAGAGGTGTGGTCTTTCAGAACTAGTGCTTGTTGAAGAGGGTAAATTGCTTGGCCCTATGTTGTGTGTCCAACTTGCAGTCATTTCAACACTGCCATCCTTGGTTCTCCAGACATGTACCATCCAAGTGTGAAGTGTCTCCGATTCTTGAGATATTCGAAGGACACACCCATCTATATTCAGACTGAGATTCCTTGTTTTATATTTAGATGCCACCTACAGTACTCTTAGACAAGACCAATGCCAAATTGACATACTAACCAAGGTGATTTAACCGTTACTTTTCTTGATTTTGTATACCACTGCAAATAGAAAAATGTAGTCCGGATTCTATAATATTTAGTTGAACTTTACCAATAGTGTGTTGTCTCATTGGATCCTTCCATAGGCACCCAAACAGTGGAACACCCGAACTTCGTAATTAAACCACGGCATGATTTTGTGGGCTATGTTTAGAAATCTGGATTGAGTCAAAAATAAGTCATAACTCATTATCGCTTTTGCTATGAGAAATGTTGGATTAGGGATATGTCATGAGATTTTCTCTGTCCAATCAGTGCTCTGTATTGTCTATCTCCACCTTCTAGTATTAGCTAAACTTGCTTGGAGCCTGGACCCAAGTCTTTCTAAAAAAGTACCTGGTGCTGTGCCCAATTTTGGCTAATCTAAAAACAAGTGGAATAGAGCCATGCAGTCAACACATCCTCACTCCCAGGTCGGCCTATGTTGACGTTATGTCAAGTCCTGTGTCGGCTTTTTCCAACGCAAGGGGGGGGGGGCCTTAGCGTCCATTTTCAACGCAAGGGGGGGGCCCTGAGCGTCCATTTTCAGCTTTCCGGGATGTCCATATGCTTCTATGGACGCTCATGGAAGCACGGCGTTCGTTTGTGTCGGCTGCCCTTAAAGGCAATGTGAGCGTCCATTCTCATTGGATAACGGAGAATTGTACACCCGGAAGTAAGTATTCCCCTTACTGTCGATTGATTTTACAGTGATATCTGCACTACTCATTGACTAAAAAACACCAGATTATCCTTGTTAATTACACAACATTGATTGGTTTAAATTGTGTGCAATGCTTTTGTATTTTTCCCCTTCGATTCGGAGAAACAAATATTTTTTCGGAGTAAAGGATGGCAGAAGACACTACACTACCCAGAATCCCCAGCTATCGTTTGGACTACACCATGTGCTCTGTTTGACAAACCCCGTGATAGTCCTCAATCTCTGTGATTGGAGAGTGTGCTCCGAGGGTTACGCCGAGCCTCGAACGGCATACTGTCCAAAACTGGATTTGAACGGGACCACCGCGTCCCCCCCTCCCCCACCCCGTCCCTAGAACTACACATGCTGGCTATTCTGTTTCGCAACATGTTCTCTATCTATGGCACGTCTCTACTGGGAGGTGTAGTTTTAAAAGACGTTTTCGTATTTCCCATAATAAGAAGTTGCCAGTATTAAACTGTGTACATCCCTGGAGGTTTAGGGGATAGGAAACACTCACATTTAAAACATATAATTAATAAATGGGTGAAAATTGCTTGTGCCCATAATGGGCAGCATTAATATATATATACACATGCCAGCTAAGGTCAGAAGAGCTTTATTTAACAGCTGGTCTTATGTTTGTGACCCCTGTTGTTCATTGATAACATTACATTACATTAATTGATAAGCCTGAAACATGCACTTGTCAAGGTTCAGAGGCACATTTTGCAAATATGGCAGTAGCCATCGATCAGCTTAAGATAAGATATACTTTATTGATCCCAAGTTGGAACATTTGCGTTACATCAGCATGTGTAACAGTTAAATATGCAGTGGTGTTTATTTGTAAATCATTTAGTATAATCACACAAATTCTGTGTTTTATATTCAACAATTCTGTGTTCTTTATTTATTGATTGTTCAATACCTGACAAGGTCGGAGATGAAATATCTACATACATCTTATAAGAGTATAATACATTATGTATAATATCAGTTAAAATAAGTGCTTCAACATAGTTAACATTGCTGGAGGTACGCACAAATATTGATAGATGTCTTGTAATGCACTATTGAGGAACCTGCGACCCAAGTTTTTCATTCAATGCATAACTACACCATAGTTGTGTAGGCCTATATGATATGTCAATAAACCATAGAAAATCTTGAAATCTTGAAAGGGATGTGCAAAATAGTCATTATATACAGTCTTTAATTAACTATTAGTAGAGAATAACGAGTAATGAATATACTTTATAGGGATCCTATTCATATCTAATAATAAAAATAATGAAATTCAATAACATGCTTTAACCACTAGGTGTCCCTTTATATCAGCTGTGCACCTTTATGGTGTAAATACAGCCTATCTACCAATTGGATCAAATATAAAAGTCAGCCGAATTAGTGTTGATAATGCAAGGAGACGTATTGTGTGAAAAGAAATGTAAGATGTTGTTTAATGGCTGATATATGTATGATCCACGTCACGTTTTCAGTTCCTCATGTTTGTCTAGAAGTCTTCTCATCAGGGCTCTATAAATACAGAACTACGGCAGATATGTAATATTTAATGCAGCCGAACCGTGTATTACAATGCCGGTATGTGATGACTTTCAAAGAGAAAAGCAAGCACACTCGGAATAAAGTATTATTTTATTTTTTTTAAATGTTTTCGGTCTGTTTCCGGTATTTGTTTATGACGATGTGCTGTGAGATGTGAGACTGGAATTGCAC